TGGAAGAGAGGTCGCACTCAGGGCCTCCTTGCACGTTCACGGGCACCCGCCAGGCAACATCACACTCCTCCTCTTCCTGTCACACTCCGCCAGCTCACCCGCTTTGCATTTTCTCAAGAATGAGGTGTACACCGCAGCGCCTGCGGATGGCCCACACCGCCAACATTCAGCGATGTCTTCTAGCTTCAGGGTCAGGAGGACACTTTCCTAACAACGGATATAAGCGCAGCCTGCTTCCCTCTTTCCAGCTGCACAACAACTGCAAATGACAATCCACCTGCCAAAGCCGAGGCAACACCTGCGTATGACACTGTTCCCAATTCTAGCCTAGAAAGCTTTCTAGGCTAGAAAGCGGTGCAGTGTTGGCGGTGCGATGTTGCTGTCCAGGTGTAAAGCTAAATTTTAGTACAATGCAGGAGGGCATGGAACATGCACGCGCATACATCAACGGAAGGAAGATGAACAAAGAGATGCAGCAGGGCACACGGACACGGGATGCCCCTAAGTATGGCTCCTTTGACGAGCGTGCCCGTGCCATCCGTCAACCATGCCAAAGTGACACACCAGTTCCAGTCTTCCGCCCCCTTTACCAACTCCGCAGCAGGCACGCTCTGCATCCCTGCTAACCCCTACCACCCCCATAACATCCTACAGAAACCATGCCGTGTTACTCCTTGCGCCCCTACCTAGCAACCCCAGCACCTCCCTTGGCACGCTACCCCATGTGCACCACTCATGGTGATTGTCATCACGAGAACATCCGAACGCACGTTAGCTATAGACGCCTCACTTGCCGGCCCCTGCCTGCCCACTGTATCCCCTTGCTCGCGACAGTCTGGTGGGTTCAGGGCAGCAGCAGCGTGCACATGCGTCCCTAACTCCCTTTTAATCACCTGACAGCCATTTTTCCCCTGGCCTTGGCCTTGTCCGCTCCTTCATCCATTGAGCCTGCTCTCCCAACCCGACTATAATCCCAACGGGAAGACTTCCGACGAACCCACCTGCAGGTCGGGACCCTTCACAGCATACGAGCCGCCTAGGCGGACCAGTCTGCTGTAGTCTGACACAGAGGAGCCGCTTAAAAACCCGGAAGTTAAGGGACAGAGTTAGGGCAAAAGAAAGGGACGACATCGCCATACGAATTTGCCGACAAGTAAGGGTTGAAAGGGTATCGCCTAATAGCTGGGCGTACCTAGGCTGCTAGGCATCACAACGCATACACACATACGAACAAAACGTGCAGGACTAGGCGAATCGAGACACATATCCAACATGAAGGCGGCATGTAATGCTTTGCCTTCTCATACTACATGCAACACAAACAATGCTTCCTTCTAAGCCACAAAATGCACGACCGCTCTACAATGTCATGAATTAGCAAGCCCACCATCGTCCGACGTAATGGGCATGACGTGACGTTCAGAAAACATGTACTCGCTATACACATAGTGTGTAGCAGCGGACGAATGACGCTGGAGCTCTGTGAGGACAGCGACTAACTACAACACAACAGCCGAGAACCCTCCCCCCAGCCCCCTCCAAACAAATTCAAGGTACAGTACTGCACCAGGTTGACAAACATGTGGCGCAGTGTAACGTGCGGTTCTGAGTCTGCAGGCCCCCCTGGTGGCAGGCTTGGTCACGTTCGTCTGCCCGCCTGCCTAATCGCCCACCTGCCTGTCCACTTGTCACAGTCGCCCCCGCGGACACAGCAACTGCTGTGAGACCTCACAGAGCACAGCTACGATCAACCATGCGTCGTGCACCGCTGGCGATTCCCCCCCTCGTCGTCGGGTCCCGGTAAGCCTATGCCTGTCTGCCTGCCTGCCTTGCTTCGCTGTCTCCCTTACGGGTGTCCATACTACTATGGAGAGTACTCTTAAAACGAGAAACTAAAAAAGCGAAAATTGCTGTGGAGTGCAGAGCTTTCAGGATGAACGTTAGTTCTGCCTGTCTTGCGAAGCCGTCGGAGAGCAGCCTCCCTGGCCACCTGGCCGACACTCCAGCCTTTCCACCGCCATGTAAACACATACAGATGCGCACGCAACGGAACCCGCATAGCTCTTAAAACCTCATCCTTGATAACTACAACTACAGAAGCTATGAACCCTCCAATGCGTTAATCCCCCCTTTACCTGCCCTGTTCTGGCCTCCTCGACTTCTACAACGGCCCCACAGCACCTCCAGACCCCAACACGATGTGATTTCAGACACGCGGGCTTCTCTTCCGCACATCTTCACCCAACCTGAATGATCACATCGTCCTCGTCGTCCTCCATTTCCCCCTCTTCCTAAACCCGATCCTTCCAAAACAACACGTGCGCTTCTTGTCTGGCCCTTAACCCCAACAGTTACACGCTCTACTTCTCTTCGGTCGCGCTCTTACCCACACGCCATGTTTCTCTGACGTCTATCTCCGATTTAGAGCCCGCTGCCATTACCACATCGGGCCCCCGGACCTCCCCACCAGCCTCACCCTCCCCACCAGCCGCTTCCACCCTTTTCCGGGCATCTAGCCTTCCACCTCTCTCGCGTCCGTGCCCAGCCCCAATCCCATCACCCTGCGGCTGGTGCGGCCGTAGCACCTTGACCCGGTGCACCTCCAGCCCTCCAGCATGGGTCTCAAAGACCCGCACGTGCCCTTCCCTGACCGAGCCGTCGTCCTCTGATGGGACCTCTTCCACGCGTATCGGCCCTTGCACGCCATTCTCATCTTCAGCCTCGTCACCGTTCTCAATATCCTGCTGCTGTTGCTGCTCCTGATGGGCCGCCTGCGTTGCTGCTGCATGCATGACCTGCCTGCACTGATGCTGAGCTTGCCCATGCTGTTGCTGCTGCTGTTGTTGCTGTTTTTGATGTTGCTGCTGTTGATGCAGGTGCTGCTGTTGATGCGGACCATGTGGCTGTTGATGCTGTTGTTGCTGGTGATGGGCTGGCTGATGGGTCCCTGCGATGGGTCCCTGCTCCCGTTCCTGCGCGCGTGGCTGAATCAGTGGCACGACCACCTGCAACATCCCACTCAATTGCCCCGCGACACGCCGGGCGCGAGCAGCCAGTGCCGCTGCCTGTGCTGCCGCATCGCGCGCCGCCGCCGCCGCGCCGCCCTGGCTTCCACCGCCGCCCTGGCTTCCGCCACCTGCCGCTGCCGCCGCCGCGGCGGCGGCACCGCGCTCCGTCTGCACTGACGCAAACTCATTCAGCTGCCGCAGCAACGCTGCAATAGACGTCACCAGCGGCGTCAGCGCCTGCGACGTGGCGTTACGTAGGGCATTGCGCGCCGCATCGGCTCCGGACCACACTGCCGCCAGAGCTGCCGCAGCCACCATGCCCAGCCAGCTCAGGCCTTGCTGCCGCTGCAGCGCTTGTGCCGCCAGCCGCTGTAGCGAGGTCCGGACACCCTGGCCATGTCCAAAGATGAGCGCATAAAAGCGGTTGGGCCGCAGCCCGTCGGGCACATCCATAGCGCCAGGCAGCGCCTCCACCATCTCCAAGAGGGCCCCGCCAGACTGTTCCGCGTCCCATAGCCGTGCCAGCAACACGTTGAGAAAACGGACCGACGTGACACCATTGCCAGCCATCAAAAAATGCAGCAGCTCCACGACATGCGGCTGATGCAACAAATCGCTGTGTGCCAACGCCGCCTCGAACACGCCGCCATCCTCCATTAGCTCCTCCAGCTGCCCGCTAAGGTCGTACATTAACGTGCGACTGCCGCTGCCTGCGGCGGCACCAGAGCTGCTGCTGCTGCTGCCAGAAACCGGAATCCGCACAATGCTGGAGCCTCCGCTACTGCTGCTGCCGCCAGTGGTAGCAGCTCCGCCGCCATATAACTGTGCTGACACGCTATGGTAGCAGTACTGCATGAGCGCGTGGAGCAGTAGCAGCGCGGCGTTGAGGTCTGGAAGCATGTCCGGATCCGCTGAGGCGCCTAGGTCGGACAAGAGGAAGCCTGGCAGCGCAAAGGCGTCTGCGAGGTGGCGACTGAGCACCAACCAGGCGCAACCCGCATCCGCTGATATTAGCGCCGCTAGCGCTCTGCATAGCGGCAGGTGCTGTGGCTCACTGCGCTGCTGGTCGTGCAGCACCCCAAATGCTAGCTTGCACAGCACGCCCGTCAGAGTTGTCGCCGCTGCCTGCAGCTGCTGCTGCATTAGCTGCGGAGCGGGAGGCTGTTGTTGTTGCTGCTGCTGGTGTGCAGCAGCAGTAGCCGCGGCGTCCTCGGCGGCTGGGGCAGTGGACCCGCAGCCGCCGCCGCTGGGGCTGCCGCCTGCGGCTGCGGCGACTGCCACCGCCGCACGCCCGGCGGTCTGCAGCGCGAATGTCATCATGTCTACGAGCCACAGGCCGTCCTGTCCCGAGCGCACGAAGTAAAAGTTTTGGAGCGACACGTTACCAGCCACAAAACGCAGTAGCTCAACACATGCACGAGGAGAGGCCTGCAGCATGTGCCGTAACATGTCCCGCCAAGCCGCCAGATCAGAACGCAGCGCTGGCGGTGCCGGCAGGTATACATTCAGCAAAAACGAGGCAGCAAAGCGTGCCGACAGCAGTACGGTCTCATCCAGTTCCTCGTTGCGCTGCGACGGCGCAGATGACGACTCAGCACCGCCAGACGCGCTAGTGCCTGCGCCACCGGAGGCAGCCCCCACAGTAGCAGCTGTGGCAGTCGTGGCTGTTGCTGCAGCGGCGCCGCCGGTGGAAAGGGACACGGCGCCGCCAGCGCCGCGGCCGTTCCCGGCGCCGCTGCTACCGCCCGCCACGGGTTGTGGATGTGGATGTGGGAGCGAGTAATGGTGGAGGTCACGGCGACGTGTTTTTCTACCCGCCAGTACTGTCTCCCAGGTTACCTCCACTACCTGCGGATGTGTGCAGGTATGGGAACGGGAGTGGCAGTCAGTCTGTCAGACAAGAGTCAAGGAAGGAGAAGCCGACACGGGACAAGTCCAAATGGCAGCCCATGCACAACACTTTCCAGCAGTACCTCACACCCGGGAGCCTGTTTAGCATTTGCCCTCCAGTGTCCTCACCTGCCGAACGAACGCAAAGTATTCCTTATTCAATACATGCAACTTGTGGATGAGCTGCAAATTCTCCCGTAGTACATTTTGATACAAAAGTACGGGCATGCCGTACGGTGTCGTGATTATGGACGGCTCAGCAGGCGGCGGCGACCTGGGGGGCCCCACCGTCTCTTGCTGTTGAGCCTCCTGCGGCCCGTCCGTCTCCATGTCTTCTGCCTCGCCTCCGTCACCTCCGCCCGGCCCCCGAAGCCGCGCGGCCCCCCTTTCCGGAGCCTCGCACGTAGCCATCAACGTCCCTGACGCAGGCCTTTGCTGCTCCGGGCCCTTTCCACCTCCGAACCCCTCGCCATTCGGTGTGTGTGCGGGTGTCGGCGTGGCAGTAGGCGTGGCGGCCGCCGCGAGGACCAGGTCCCGCGGCACAGCAAGCATCTCGGCGGCGGGTTTGTCGTATGACGGCGAGTCGCGGCGCTCATAAAAGAGCATGTACGCGCTGTAAGGCCGTTCCGCATCCGCTCTGCCGCCGCCGGTGCTGCTTGTGGGTCTTCCTCCGAAGCAGTCCGCCTCCAGATCAAGAATGCTCCAGGGGGACACCACCTTGTCGTCAAAGCGGTACCAACTGCCCTCCGCCACCTGAAGGGAGAAACGAAAGGGAAAGAACAGCGAACCCGGATCTCGAACCCGAACACGAATGCGAACGCCCCAAGGAGTGGTAAAAGAGCAAAAAAGGCCTACAACGGGAAAAAGTAGCTGCGGGTTAAGGAAACACACACAAAAGAAACCCGCAAACATTCACATGCGCCTTTCTTTTCCCCCTTCCACCGTCTCCTTTCCCCCACTCAACCGTACCCTGAAATCCCCCAACCTGTCACTCCCTCCCAGAACAACCTCACACACAACTCACCTGTCCATCCTCCACAACCCGGGGTCGTTCCTTGATGAAGGAGTAGTAATGTCCTGCGAATGCCGTACCGCTGTGTACGACAATACCCTTGAGCTCGTACAAGTAGCAGTTCCGCGGCCGTGTTGCCCCGTCTGCACCGCTACCATTGGTTGCTGCTGTCCCGGAGCCTTCCCCCCTGTGCCCCGCTGCCGCCGCCGCTTGTCCTGCTGGAGCTTGTGCTACTGCCGGTCCCGACCCTGTCGCCTCGAGCGCCGCCAGCCCGTCCGCTGTGTACTTGAACATGTCCAACACGACGGGGAATTCGAAGCGGTCTCGCAGCTTATACCTGCAGGGCCAGCAGGGAGTGGGGTACTGGTGTCAGAGTGGGTAGAGGTATGACGCGCGAGATCCGCATGTATTACAATACAGTACGGAAGGGTGGACAAACTGAGCGCACACTTCTTCAACATGAACACGCATCCCATAACACCACCATCAAAGTCCCATTCACCATCACTTACCTTCGCTAGCACTGAGACACACACATGCACACATATACTTTCACACATCCCACTTCTAGCCACTCGCCCCCAGCTCTCCTGCCCTCTCCCGAACTCCTCCTCTCCCCCCCACCTCGTCATGTTCAGGTGGTCGTACTCGAACCTCTTGAGGTGTATCACCAGCGTATGGGGCAGCTCCTTGATGACGGTCCTCCTCACCGCCGCCACCCGGGTCCCCAGCTCCTCGCAGTAGTAGGAGTTGTCGCCCTCCATCAGCTCACCCGCCACATAGCCCTCAAGAGACTTCTCAAGGCTGTGGAAGCCAGCGACCTCAACACTGACCTGGTAAAACTCCTCCTCGCGCTCGCTCCTTTGTGTGCAGGAGTGGGCGAGACAGGTGGGTGTGAGAGGGGGTGCAGGGGTAAGGAGGGAAACCGTATGCGAAGAAAGCAAAGCTTCAAGGAGCGGGGAGGTTCAGGAGGGTTACGTGACCGGCTTGCTCCGCCATACGTCCATCCCTCGGCACGCATGCGCATATGCACACACATACCACCTACCCAGCCAGCCAGCCCATCTGCTCACCTGTAGTTGACGTCTTTACAAATGATCTGGGCCGCGAACTTGCCCCCCATGACCGCCTGCATGGCGGGGGTCTGACCGGTGGCCCGCAGGTACGAGTCCACAGAGTCCTGGAGGGGGCAGGCGAGGGGGAGGAGAAAATAAACTAATACATCCTAGCTGGCGCCAAACTGGCAGTGCGTCCAGATGCAGACTGTGAGGGTGGGACTGAAGGGTTCTCTGGTTGAGACAATGGTGATGGCGGGGAGGAAGCGAAGGGCAAACAGAGAGCAAGGCAGAGCAGCAGCCAAGGGCTTAGCTTTTGCCCTGTCAGAGCAACTGCTTGGCCCTCGGCCCATAACCACTGCACACCACATACACTCGCACACACACGCACACACTCTAGACACACATGTCACACACACTCATCAGCACACACCATCGCAAGTTGTCTCACCGCACCCCGGGACCCCCGCCCAGGCAAACCCACAACATACCCTTTCCTCCCACCCCCATCACCCTCATCCATCCATCCATCCACCTATTCGTCCATCTGTCCTTTCATCCATACCTGCAACCGTGTAAAGAACTCATAGGCGTCCTGGTGCTCCCTCACGTCTATGGGCTGTCCGTCATAGTCCTTAAATGACTGCCAGAAGCCCCGCGGGTGGAAGCAGCTGGAGCGACCCAGTCGCAGGTGAGCAAACATCACCTGCACGGGTACGGTACGGGGTTTGCGGGACGTATGCATGAGAGGTGAAGGGGAAAACAACTAATCCGGGCCCGTCACAAACGGACCACGACGACCCAAATGGACATTTCCCCAGGTGCGGCGGGTGTGTGGAGGTGTGTATAAGGGAAGGAGATAAGCACGGTAGGAACGTTTTTCAGCAAAAATCGGTGGATGGTAACCTCAAAAAGATCACAAATCGATTAGGCAAAGGGGGAACATTGGTAAAATTGGTCTACCATAACACGCACACACGCACACACACACAACATGCGCGCGCACCGTCAAACGCGCACACAGGTATACACACAGAGACACGCACGGACCAGGCGCACCTGCAGTTGGTGAAACACGCTGTCGTGTTGTTCTTCCGGGTCCACTGCCCCCGCTTGCAGCACCAGCTCGCGAATGCGGGGCTGCATGAACAGCTGCTGTAACACACTGTTCATGTAGCAGGTGGCGCCGCCGTTACGAAGACCCACATAGCAGTCCTCAGACCGAACACCCTCGCCGCCAATGTCGAACCTGCGCACAGCCGCAAAGGAAGGCGCAGCACAAGTCGATGTTACCATGCCCGCTGCCAGACGCAAAAGCTGCACCTTGTTCCCCCCCCCCCGTTTTCCCTCCCCATCAGCATCTCTCCTCCCCAAGGGAATCGCCTTCCCCGCCTTTCGTCTCGCGGCTTGCCCTCGTCAAATACGGTTCCCCTCATGTACACACACACACTCCCCTACCACGCCCACTTCCCGCCAAACACACACAGGAGGTCAGCACAGCGGCGCCTCCCTGGCCTCTCTTTCCCCATCCGCTATGTTTTGGCGGTGCTTTCGTTAGGGAAGGCAGCCGCATTTGGAGAGCGACATGCCATGTCTAAAGGCGACCTAGTACAGACAGACGTACACACATCCGCATACGCTACACATACTTTCTGTCCACTACCCGTAGGCCGTTGTCATAGTGCAGTCGCGACAGGGCCCTGAACCCTTGCTCTAGGTTGCTGGGACAGGCGGTCATGAGGAACTGCACTAGCTGCAGCGCCTCTCTCCGCACACCCGCATCGGCCGCCACGTGCTGCAGAGCACTCTCCATGGCAGAGTGGGAAGCTTCAGGCTTCCACAATGTCTGCGCCTCGGGGAAAAGGTACCTACATACCACCACCACCACCACCACCACCACGCGCAGGGGACACGAGGGGTTCAGAGGAAACGAAGAACCGCCGCTATGGGGAGAACTGCGGGAGGGAAATCGGTAATGCTCTTACCCGAACGCAAAAGAGAGAAACAAGAGGGGAAATGAACACGGACATGACAAGCAAACGGGAAAACCGTGCAGCTCTGTACCGTACTGCATGGTACGGCATACCTTGTTCAGCTGTTGTGTCGGGGCCCCCTGCCGCACGCCAACTCGCACCCCACCTGTTCAGCAGTATGGATATGAGTCCCGGTCGGCCGTTGGCTCCCAGCCCTAGCCCCAATCGCTCCAGTGCACGAACCAGCTCACGAACCAGCATCAACTTGCCCTACAGGTGCAGAGGGAAACAACGCAGTGTACCGGGGTGCGAGAAGGATTGGCCGGGAAATGTGGAAATTTGGATTGCTAGTGGCGACTGGGATTGGGATTAGAATCAGGAATGGAGGCCCGCCCGCCAGCCCCGGAGTCTACCCAACCAGACAGCCAGCCAGCACCCAATTCATGAATATAAACGATGCACTATTCATTAATCGCCAGTTCGCCTGACACAGCTGCACGTCAACACACGCCACCAAATACAAAACGAGGTCATCAAACAGCTACCCAGCTACTCACACCCCCACTGCATCCCCATCCTCCGACCCCCGGCCCCGGAACTCCTGGCGCACACACCCTCAGCAGCAGCGCCCTCTTGGGCTGCATGAGCTCCTCCGCCCCCGCGTCCAGCCTGGCCACCTCCTCACTAAGCACACTGTCAGCCAGAAGCCGTGCTTCAGCAGTGGGGGAGGCCAACTCGGGAAGCTGGTGGAGGACCTGACATGATGGGTGGGATGCGTGGGTTGAACGGGCGGGTCGGCCCGTGGTCGTATACAAAACGTCAAAAGGTGGGATGGGATGGAAATAACGTGGAGGAAGTGGAGATAATTATTTCCACCATCTTCAATTCTTTTCGTCCTATAATCCCTTTCCAGAACCCGCCTACCTTCCCTAGCAGCATGTGGAACTCCAGGCAGCTGTCCAGGCGGTACTCCATGGCGGGTCTCAGTGACACCAGGCTGTGTAGCACCCACATGAAGTGGTGGGAGGGCAGCTGCAGCTGGGAGCCACTCGCAAACACACCCTCGAGGTGGTTGAGGGCGGAGTCCCGAATGGCGGGGGAGAACACGCAGGACAGCGTCTCCAGGAGCATAGGAACAGATCTGAACGAGGCCACACCGGGTGGGCAGGGGAGAGGGGGAAAAGTATTCAAGGGGAGAAAGAGAATTCATGCTGGCTATTAAATAAAGTGCCAAGGCATATCAACTACAGATTGAGCATGATTAGCATCAACTGCGGCAGCAACGCTATGCTACACCAACGCGCCATATGCAGCACAGCAAAGCAGCAGAAGCGGCGATAGCTGTACGGGGGTGGGGAAAAATACTCAATGCGACCTGCGATTCCGACCCAGCTGCAAGTGCAGATGAGGTGGCAGCAGACCTGGGATGCTGTCTCGCCATCTGCATCCTTGTACCGTCGCCCTTGCACATATAGCCCACACTTGGCCGCGTCATACACATACACAGGCGCCGTCAAGCCACAGGCACTGAGACTACATTCCATGTTCGCACGCACTCGCCTGGAGTCCTCTAGAAACGCATCTCGCAGGTCGGGCCAGTGCACCAGCCTGGCTAACACCTGTAGCGCCTTGGACGCCAAGCGGCATGCTACGTCTGCTGCCGCGCACATCTGTTGGTAGCTGGGAGCGCCGGCTGCGGCTGCCGCGGCCGCCACCGCCGCCGCACCGCCGCTACCACCGGCTCCCACACCGCCAAGCAGCGGTTTGCCTTGCTGTTGCGCCATCAGAAGCGTCCCGTAGCCCCACAGGCAGCCCGCGTCGTGGGCCACTTGTACCAATAAAGACACCAGGCAACGCACGCCGTCGGAACCGAGATAATGGAGTAGGTTGGCGTGGCCGTCGCCGGTGACCACGATGGAACCGCCGGCGGCAGCCGCCGGCTGCGTCGCCGCTGCAGTGGTGGCAGTGGCTGCCGCCGCGGCCGCAGCCGTCGCCGCAGCCGTCGCCGCAGTGTGCGGCCCCGCCATGCTTACCGAAAGCGCCGCGCCGGCGGGACTGGGTGCCCCCGGCGGCAGCTGTTGCGACAATGCCGCCGGCGGCAGCTGCTGTGCTGCGTCTGCCATCAGCGGTTCTACCACCGGCACCATTTCGACGTCCCTGGAGCTTCCACACCCGGGCAGCTGCGCCGCCGACGGCGACGCGGCTCCCGGCAGCGACGGCAGGTGCAACGGCAGCAGCGCCACATCCAATGAGGCCACCACCACAGGCTGGCTGGTGCCGCTGTCGTTGCCCTGATGCCGCAGCCCGCGACTGCTCACGCCAGCGATGGTGACCGACGTGTCCATGTAAGACGACGCGGCAGGATACCTGCCGCCCCCGCCGTCGGCGGCGGCCGCGTCTGGCGACCCGTGCGATGATACCGCCAGACCAGACACTAGCGCGGCTGCCGCCGAACCACACGTCGGCTGCAGCTGTACGGAGTCACCCCCTTCCTGCGTCGGCGCCGCAAGTTGCACCGACATGGACGCTTCCGCGTCGGCGCTGGTGACCTCTGGTGTAGCTACACTACCCACACCTGCGCCGCCACCGTTGCCGAACAGTGGTGCCGCCGCCACCTCCTGCGTCAGCGCGTCCGAATCCTGGCCCCCGGACGCCGTTGGGGCTCCCTGAACGCCGCCGAGTGCCGCCTGGCCGTCGTGACGTGGATTAGGATGCGACTGCTGCTGCTGTTGGTGA